CACCAGTAGATGGGAATTGCGCGTTGGTTGGCAACTGGCAAAGGAAAGCACTTTCTTCCCTCCTCTGAACTCTCAATAGCAGAGGAACTGCAGACAGACTTGGTCGGTTCTGCAATGTGATTTCATAGCAAGAAAGGTTCCTAAAACGTACCCAGTTTCAGGGCCCCTGCTCTGGTGTTGATTGGAGCTCAGCAGAGGGAGAAGGGCAAGACTCTTCCATCTAGCAGTGTACTCCTTTTAGACCGCAGCCCCTCTGAAAATCCACCCTCTGGTATGTGGGGTGGGATGTACAAAATTAATATTCTTTAATCATTGGGTTAAAAGTACTCTGTCCTTTTATCTGGAAGGAGAGGAGTACTTACCTCTCCTCACCAGCTGAGCTAAGGCTTTCATATTTGCAAAATGATTCAAGAATCTCACTTGGAAAGCTCTGTAGAAGTGTCAGATGTTATTATGTACTTCGTTGTTCCAAGTGACAAGAAGAAAATTGCAGAAAGTAAGCCGTCATTTTTATGAATCAGAGCCCTCCCACTTCCTTACCACTGCTTAGCAATTTTTATGCCAAAAAAAGGAAGAATTTTTTTTAAATTCACAACTGTCATGAGTGATGATTCCCAGCCCACACCTGGCTTTAGGAATATTACATTTCTGAAGCCTGAGGTGCATCTCTCAGCTCCTTGCAAAAAAATTGTAAAACTGTCTGAGATTTAAACAAAACAAAAATCTTTCTGAAAAAATAATGGTTTTAGAAAGAATAAAGACTACCAAGGGGTAAGCTGTTTCATTTTGCAAGACAATCTGAAAATGTGGCGCTTTTTCTTTGTAGTTGCTAGTGTGTGATTGCTCCAGATGTCGGTTTAGAGCTATACACCTTTTGGCTATCAGCACAAGATGTGGATATGAGACTGAGTAATTAACCACGCTTCACCTGCCAACTAGATATATATTGCCACTCTGGATAGCCATTGAAATGATAAATACAGACTTAATTTTTCTGTGATATGTGTGCTCTGTTTGATTTCACCTCTAATTCTGTGTTAGAAATAGGTAAACATCTCTTAGTAGGAAAAAAAAAGGTTGTCTTATATTGAAAGGTTGTCTTATATTGTCTTATATAGCTTTTATTGAAAACGTGGGGAAGTGGCTCCCAGCTGCCTTCAGCTTTGAATTTTAGGTGTCTGGATAGGTATGTGATTTTTATTTTACAGAATTTTGCAAAAATTCTGTCCAGCTCCTGAAGGCTTGGGCATTGCACAAGATAGGGGCTGCTTTTAGAAGACGGCCAGTCTATTGCAGTAACTGATCCCAAATACATTTCCAGCTTTGTGCAAATGAGAGGTCTGCATGTGCAGGGTTTTAGGAACGTGACCTCCGTTTTGCGCTCCCAGCACCAGTCCAGCCAGCAGTAGTACCTGCGTGGAGCCCTGTCTGCAGCCAAGGGGGACCCCTTTGATTTTAGCACGGGATCCCCCCAGGAATTTTTTTACAGTACTTTTTTATAAAAGGATCTCAAAAGCGTTTGCAAGTCCATTAGGCACACAGCTCCACTGTAAGTAAGTTGAGTAAGTTGAGAGGAAGGTGAAGTGACAGGCAGCGGTGCCAGCTGTGAACTTAAGACCCAGAGTCAGCTCTTGTTTTCCGTGCGCTTCGCTTGCAGGCTGGGTAAGTCAGCTTGGGGGTGAGGTTCTTGCATCATCTTGGCTCCGTATATAGTGAGTGGCAACGCGTGCTCTCCCAGAGGAAAATTTGGGGACTATAAGGAGCCTCTTCTCTTTATGGGATATACAGGGAGTGTAAAACTAGAGGGCTAAAGCTGGGCAGCGTGACTGTTCGTCGTCTTCCTTTGTCTGTCTCCAGTCTGCGTTCAGAAAGTGAGGATGGTGGCACATCCACGCCTCCCAGCAGGTTGGAGCATAAATGCAGTGAAATCTGCTCAATCCTCCAGAATGCCTCATAATTATCATCTGTAGGTTTGGGGCGTGCGAGTTGATTTCCCAAGTTTACACTGGGCTCTACTAGAGAGAGCAAAATGCAGAAATCAAAAATTCCTATCCCAGGCCCCACTGCGCAAGCGCTAGGCGCTGCGCTGCCATGCCAGTATGCTAACAGGGGCTCTGCACTTAATCTTCAGAGAGGAAGTGAATCTGGTTTTCCATAATTAAAAAAAATACATGTGTTTAACTCACCAGCTTTTAGCTTGCCGTATCCGCTCCTGCTTCAGGCAGGTAGTTGAAGCTTGGAACGATCCCAGAGGTTGGCAGGAGCTGGTCCAGCAGTACGTTCCTGCTATTTTGAATTTAAGGAGAATGCTTTTTTTTTCTTTAAAACAACAAAAATAGCAAAACCCCAAATCATTCCTGTACTCAGTGTCTCTGCAGCGCCTCCAGCTCCCCTTGCCAGGCCTCCCCGGACCCGTCAGCTCTGTCCTTTGGAGGACGTCTGGCCTTTGAGGCGAACGCTGCGCAGGCCACGCTCTGTTCTTGCCTGCAGCGCTCGCGCAGACAAAATTAGCCTTGGAAACAGCTGTATGGCAGACAGAGGGAGCAAACGCCCGGATCTGGTGCTCTGTATATCTACTAAAACATTAGCACGTATTTCCAGACAACTGGAATGGACCAGAGTTATCCGCTGTACATAATTCTGACCCTCAGTGTATGATCTGAAACAAAATCATGAGAAAATAAATATTGCGAAACCTGAAGACCATGGCTCATTGCTCCTGTCTGCAAGCTCTTGAGTCTGGTTGCTTGTGCCGGAAGGCGAGTCTCTCTGTCATTCACAATTTTTTGCTTTGCCTCTGAATTATTTTTCTGACCAGCTAAGGCTTTGGGGTTGATTTCACGCTCTTGCAGCAGCTTGACAATGCTGTAATTCCAGCATCTGCTGTGAGCACATGATGGGTGTAACGGGCTCAAGGGTTTGGCCACTTGCAGCTCTGCAGCGTCTCAGTGTTTATGTATGCATAATATCTGCAAATTTCCAGGCAACAATTACTCGTCTGGTTTAGGATTCCTAGCAAATGCATCTGCTTTACAAATAATTAGAAGTTCTTTCAAAGAGATCCTTTGAAGTGAAATTATCTGTTTTTCTTAGGGAAATTGAAATGAAGTTTATTACTCAGGTGGAAACATCCAGCTGTGATAGAGACCAATGCTGCAGGGCTGCTTTCTGTTGACAGAGAGTAGCAGCGGCGGCGCAGCAGGGTCATGATGCTGGAGGCGGTCGGTACTCATTGCTGCCAGGTTAGGCCAGATCGCAGTGGCTCAAAACAGCATAACAGTTATCAGCAGGCCTACAAGAGCACTGCTTTTCTGCAGCGAGGCAGGCGCTACACAAGCAACCTCTTTTAGCAAATAGGAACGCACAAGGAGATTCATAAGCAAAGAAAACTATTCTGTTCTGCTAAGACATTTTCTAATAGGTTTAACTCCTTGGATTTGACTAGAAGAGCTGTTTTTTGCATCCACCTTCAACAAAGCAGAGCTAACTGCAGCTGTACCATATCCCTTTCACCCAGTATATAGCGTTGGAAGAGACTGTCGTACAGAATCAAGCTGACATAATTTATTTGATCTTAAAATATTCAATAGCCAAAGATTGCTGATGTAATTACTCCCTCTCTACTCCTGATTACAGAAAATCCCTAAAGGGTTTGTCCCCGTTTGCTGCCTCTCGTCAAATTGCAGAGCAGGCAACATTCAATTCATTAATAGATCTTTTGAACATGATTAATTGGGTTTTTAAGTGGGTCAGTTTCCTCTAAAATTTCTTGCTTATTGAGTTCCACTTGCATTTGCAACTGTCCACCTGTGATTCTTCGTTTTCATGGGATCCTCTAAAACCCTCATGTCATTTGATGCGCGCTAGTGATTGTCCATGTAAGTTTTTATAGGAGCTTGTATCCCTCTGTTTTATTTGCTGCTTGGATGTGCAGCCCTGTCATCAAATTGCTTTTCCGTATTACGTGGGCAAATATCTGTTGAGCACTACAGATCCTTTACTGACCTCCTGTTTTGCAAGCGATATAGCTGCTCCAGACGGTTCTTGAGCCGGTTCTGCAGATGGACCAGTCTTGTCGCCTGTTTGGGTAGTTTTGTTAGTTTTATTTTTAATACTATCCTAAGGTGAAATATTTTTCATGGTTTGTCAAACAAGATTATGGAGTTGACTGTAAAACTATGACTCATCTCAGCGTTCTTTTTTCTTATTAAGAACGATCCTGGAGGAAAGTGAAAATGAAAATGTCAGTTCTGTCATAAATAATGTAAAAATGACAGCCAGGAAGAGAGGTCTCTCAGACCCTCTCGCTATCCACAGCCTTAGAAAAGAAATCAATCTTGGAAGGCTGGGTTGGAGGCTGATGCAAAGTTTTATCAACCTTTTGTGCATTTGGCTGTTTACATCATCCAGGCATCTTGTCCAAAATAGTTAATTTTTGGCTTTTAATTTGGAGGAATGGATATTCTCATTCATAGTTATTTAGCTGGGAGGTAAGCATTTGAGCTTATAGCTCATATTCTTAGCTAATTCTGTGAACAAGTTTAATCTCCCTGGTATTTTATTTCTGGAAGCAACGCTATATCCAGAGTGTAATTAAACTAGTAATTTTTTGCTCTTTGTTTTGTCAGAAAGCCACCTTTAAAGATGTAATGTCTCTGTCTCTCAAAAAAAAAAAAAAAAAAAAAGAAAAGTACGATGGACCAGCAGTAAAAAATTGAATCCTTGACAGTTCTTCAGCACACAGCATATAATGCTGTTGATAAGTCTCATCTGTTGCACCTGATAGCGGTGTGGGGACACAGAATTGCATTTCCAGTTGCAAACATTGATTTCAAGGGCGTGCTCACCTATTTGCTTAGTAATGGAAATGGGGTAAGGATATATTAGACATAGCAGTCAGAAGCCCTGGAAACCTTGAATTTAATGGCACTGTCTGTTATAAAATTTAGCAGGAAACTAATGAAAACAAACATTTCTTCTGTCATCTTTTCTCTTTTAAGGAGGAGAGTCATACTGGGGAAAACCTTTTAAAGATGAATTCAAGCCCAACTTGTCCCACACAGGACGTGGTGTTCTCAGCATGGCCAATTCAGGACCTAATACAAACAAGTCGCAGTTGTAAGTAGTCACTTGTTTTTGTGTTTTATCATTTCCCTCTAGACATTGTGTCTTATACCATTAAGAAAATAAATGACATTTTATGAGCTACTCTTTAAAGTTCAGTCAAGTGAAATAGTCTTTCAAGTGCTGCGTACTGAAATCTGCATAGCTACAGCTGCTCTTTGCCACTCTAAGAGCAACATGAAGTATGTCAAGAAGACCTTTATGTTTATCACATCATCATTAATTTGTCTGTTCTGTTTTTGTAATTTGTAGTTTTTTCTTTTTCTCAGTGTCTCCCTACTGTTATTCTTATGGAATTATTACACCTATCCACTCTGTTTAAATTTAGCCTTATATTGAACTTTTTGACAGTCCTGATGAAATAAAACATAAAATATATACAAATGTCACTTCGTTTTAGTTGCCCAATTTTAAATAAGAACAGTTCTAGACTGTTCAAATGTGTAAATCTAAATGTGACAAAGTGCAGAAGCTGGGATTGAAAATGACTTATTTTTCTGTGTACAAAAGCAGAATGAGGACTAAAATGAGAAACAAATAAGTAAAAAAGCAGAAAGAACAAGAAATGAAATGTTTAAATGTTCTAGTAGTAATAGTCTACTTTATGCGTCAAGTCAATGCAGACATTTGCCTGCAGTCTTTTAAAAGTGTTCTCTGTCACTTGAACTGTTTATTGGTTACTCTAATTAATGAAATAGAAAAAAAGTTTTCTTTTTCAGGTAGCCCTAGGAGAGAGTCTGTGTGGGTAGTGCACGGTGCTGCGTGTTGGGACTGGGGAGCAGGAGAGGGGATTCTGGGTTGGTCTTCCAAGGTGCTGAGATTTATTATAGCTTTGGAAATCATGCAGTGGTGTGTATAACTTTAATTAAACACATAATAGGCTTACTCATGTGCTTAAGGCTAAATATGGGCAGTGTGCAGGATTGAGTCCTTGTGGAGCTTATTTTAGATTTGAATTTTATTGCCAGTATTCAGGTGCTAAGTTAGTGGAGAGTAGAGGGAAAAAAGGTCCCTGGTCCAGGGAACAGAAGTCAGAAACTGTTTGGAAACGGTGTGCTGTATCCAGTTGCATCGTCTGCCATCACAAGCACAATCACCGATCTCTCTAGAATTTGTAAATGAATATGAAGTTCCTTTATACGTGAAGTCCTTGAGAGACTCCGGCTGCCCATATTTATAAAACTTCCTAGGCAATGTTTAAAGGCTTTGACAACTGTTGTGACCTTAGGAACTGGGTAAAGAGCTCTCCAGGTAGGCATTAGTCGCCGTAATGCAGAACGGGGTGGGTTAATTGTGTAAAATTAATGCAATGCAAGTTCACGCAAGTGGTGCTAACCAGAAGCGCAGCGATGCTCAAGACTTTTTCCCCCAGGTTCCCCAGGAATTAGGTTAATTCCATTGGCCTTATTTTATTTTGACTGCTCTGATGGCTCAATTTTTTATTTTTATTTTTAATTACAATATTGCCTAATTGATCACTTGCTAATCTAAGTACTGGGTGTCTGGGAATAAACTGGTGCACAGAGCACATGCACAAGACTAGAATGTAATGTATGCCCTGTGTAGGAGTTTGTATTCTCCACAACATCTCAAAGCTTTTCCTAGGGCAAGCTGCGTCTTAATAGATTGTCTGGCAGATTGCAGCCCCTCCTATTCGCAATCATATAACTTCCCGAGGCAGTTGCTTATATGGAAAAGTGCTTCTGGAATGTTTATATATTTTTAGCTGTCTCTAATGTAGCGTAACAGATGGAGACAGGGAGGAGAGCCAGCACCGCCCGTCCAGCCAACTTCAGACCATTGTGGTCTGCAAACCGCAGCATGGAAACCTCTGTTTCATACTCTCTTCCAAAGAAGTGTTAAGCTTTAGAGAAGAGTTTTAGTAGTGAAGGTTGTTTTGGATTTGGTATTTTAGTCCCCATGTGTAGGTTTAAAAATAAAAACAGAATCTATTAAAAATCTAAGTTTCTCAAATTTTTTTTTTTCTGCTTCTAAAACTTTTACATTTTCTTCTATTATGTTTGTTGCTGAAGCACAAATTTGCCGGTTCCAGACAGAAATGGATTATGGGCAAGCCAATTTAATGGAAACAAAATGCAGAAAGTAAATATCCTAAAAAATAAAGTTTACGTTGGCAGGTGATTATTGTGTGTTATAACTATATTTGCTGGTTACAAAATCCCACTCATGTATGAGATGTACTTCACCAGTGGGAACCAGCTCTTACTGCCCTGCAGGGAGCAAGGAGTACTGTGTGCGGCACTGTTTAAGGATGTTAGTAAGGTATAAAAATGAGAAGTCCAAAATCCAGAAATCCAAGATGAAATCCACAAACTGTAGATTTGCGGAGAGCTGTTTGGTCCGCGGGACTCTGGAGGGGAGAGGGGCCTGTCTCCTCGCGGGGGGCTGCTCTCTGTTTCTAAGGCTAGCCGGCCGCGGCGGAGCCTTGAGCAGATTACATGCTAAGTGTTGCGTCTCTCTCCCTTCCAGCTTTATCACCTTCCGCTCTTGCGCGTATCTGGACAAGAAGCATACGGTGTTTGGAAGGTAAGTGAGGGGTGATCTCGAACCACAACGTAGCAGACATGCTGCCCGTGGGGTCTGAAGCCTGGAGAAGAATCTAGTGACTTCTGCAGTCGCACTGGAGCAAAAGCCTAGCTCGCAAGCGGTTCGCTTGGTCGGGAGTACGTGGCCAGGCTGTCACCAGTGCCAGTCATCAGATTCTGCTTTTTGTTTCTTTCCATCCTCCCACCTCTGTAAAATGCCTTACTATTAAGAGTTTCCCTTCTGTACGTGGCTCTCTGGGGAGTCAGGAACAAAGTAATCAGCATCCTGTAACCAGTCATCTTAATATTTTGCGCTCACTGATTGCTGAGACACAAGAGATTACCAACCTTCAGCTCTGCTCTCATCCTTCAGGGACTGTCACACAATGAGTCAGTCATGACAGGGCTGCTCTTCGTCGCGGGGCAGAGCATAGCGCTTTTGCGTAGGTTATGTCTTTTGGCTCCTTTCATTCTTTGTCCCTGACATGTCTCGGGGGTGTGTATATATGTGTGTGTGTGTATACGTGAGCGTGTGCATATGTGAGTAAGTGTATGTATATACATACACATACACACATACAAATATCAGCAATGCCAAGGCAGTAAGGGAACTTCAAATCATCCTTTATGGCAGCTGCTGCAGTACTCCCAAAAGCCTTTTCCACTCAAGCCCTCACATGATACAGATCAAGGTGTGTGTTACAGAATATATTACAAAATCTTTGTATTGCAGAGAGGAGAGTGTACTTGTTTGCTTCTCCTGCTGCAGGTACGAGTCCTGATTATAGTACCAAGTGGTGCGTAGCTTTTCTAACAAATGCCTCGGTGTGACAGGACGAGGAGTTTTACTAGCCTCCTTCATTGGTGCTTCCCAAGGACTTTACAATCATTTTAAAATGAAAATTTGGGGGTTTTTTTAATCTTTTCCTAGTTTCATCCATTTGAAAAACAGCAGTTGAAAATAAATGCGTGTGCTGTTTACTTTGATTGGGTGTTACACAAGAGGGCTGTACAATGAAAGTGATATATTTCATCCATCTGTTCTGCCTGCAAGCTCTTGAGGCAGGAGTTGGCTTTGTTTGAAACAACTACAGTAGTGCCATTAGCTTCGATACTGATTCTGCAGTAATTACTCCCTTTGAATTATATTTCTTTTTCCTTTCTCAGGTCTGTCTTAGCAAAATTTAAAGTTCCTTTGTCATTTGGTGAAAGCAGATATAAATCAAGCACATTCTAATACTGAAAGCTGAGAGCGAGTATATTCTTGCAGGCGTTACGTTACCAGTATCTTAGGACTTGTCTTCCTTGCAATTTCGCTTAAGCTACAACTTGAGTCTCCTTGCAGAAATCCCATTAAATCCAATGTGGTAATGCTGTTAACCTGAGCTTGCCACCTCATCAACTAGTATTTGGGTTAAGACAGCTCAGCTGAAAATGTGACAGTACTTCAGTTCTGGATGCAACCTGGCTTCACTGAGCAGCCAGCAGTCCTCCAGTGCACTGTTTGCCCAGGGTGCCCCAGCTCTACCATAATTCACTGAGAAAGAGAGTGGAGAGCGGCACAGCTTCCTGCAGCGCAGGGAACATGCTCCCCAAAACCTTCGCACCGTGCAGAACATCTCAAGCACCTTATGAGCAAAATAACTCAAATAATGTTTCACACTGTACAACGCCAGTTAGAGAAGAATAGGTTACTCTGACTAAGTGTATAGCGAGATCTATCTAATGGCAGTTTTAGCAAAGACTGCCTTCATTCTTGAATTATCCTTGCCGCTACAGAAACCTGAATTTGGTTGCCATAAAGAATTGGTGCTGCTTTCAGTGAACTGGAAATGTTCTTAGTTGAAATATAGAGGAAAACCCTTTTGAAAGGTGTTCTCTTAGAATCATGTTTGGCTCCCTATGTGAAAACTAGCATCTTCATCTGAACACAGTCCAAGTGAATTTTACTCTGGACTCTCTTGCATGTAGAAGAAAATGAATGCAAAGAATGTCAAAAATGAAGGTGCCGGGATAGATGCATTACTGTCTTCCCATTCTTACAAATTGAATACTTGAATAATCAAATTTACCTACAGAGTTAATATAGAAGCCCAATGTATGCAGATCTCAAGATTTGTATTCTGTAATGAAAATCCTGTAGCTATTTTTACCTATATTTGTTTTTATAGGCCATAAAAGCCAAGAGACTCAAGAGATTATATCTTTAGTGAAACTCCAGCTTCAGCTTGCTATTTCAGATCCTGGGTGTTTCCAGGATTTGGTGCCCGTATCTGATCTTAGACTGTATAGTACAATAATATCTGGGAAGCATATCTAGGAATAGTATCTAGGGTTAAGAATAGAATGAACCCATGAAATCATAATTCTTTGTTTCCATGAATGTTAAATTGGATTGTCTTAATTGGATGATTACTGGCCTGTTGTGACTTTCACATAGATCTGAAGATTACTTTTTTCAGTTAATGTAAAAACTGGATCCTCTCTGTGAGCTCAGCTCTGCCCTCAGCTATTTCTGTGCAGCTCTGGTTCATGTTAGTGTGTTTCACATATGTGTCTTGGAGAGCAGAATTTGACCTGTCTGTAATCTTTACAGAACTTTTCAGAAGGCTTTGCATACTTTTGAGAGGAACAGAAAAAGGGCAAAAGGGCAACCGTTCTTCCTCCATTTTTTTTTGGGGTCCCTTGTGGGATAAAACATTGAGAAGTTCCTCCTCGCAAGAGCTACATTTTATTCATGTCCTCACTGGTTTGAACTCCAGCTTTTGAATGGTAGTTGTTATTAGGAGTTGGATGTTTGGCTGTTAAGTATGTTTGAAAACCACACCAGCTGAAGGCAGTGGGACTGGGAAAAGGTAGCATGTGTTTGGCTTTGGACAGAGGCATTTTCAAGCCTCAGGAGAAGCAGTGGGCTGTGGGGCAGGAAGAGAATCCGGTCATGTGTGTGCTGCCCACCATGGCAGTAATGCTGAGAGATGTTATTGAAACCAAAGGAGATAGTTTAGGCACAGAAAGGGAGCAAAGAATAAGGCAGCCAGTGAGAAGAGAACGCCTTCCCTCGGCAGTGTTGCGTGGCTTTCCTGCTCCGGCGGAGCTGCCTTGATTAACTTAGTAATTACCATTTCTAGTAATTACCGTTTCTCCTGACTTAGAGAATGCTGTAATTACCTTGAAAACTAACTGGTGGCTTTTGTTGGTTTCTAGCTGCCTGGTAAGAGGTTTAATTTAGAAACCCAAATAATGTAAACCAGCCAACTGGTTCTTGCTCTGCACAGAGTGGATGAAACCATTTTCAGGCGAGTGGTGCGCAGAGAAGGTCCTGCCTGGTGCTCTTGCATGCTGCTGCCCGAGGGTGGTCTCTCCTATACATGCAACGACCGAGAATTCAACCGTTGCATGAGCTACAGGGATGGTACAGCCAAAAACACCAGTTTAGGCTAACATTGCTGTCACTGGCATGCTATATGAAATTCAGATGCAAGCACATCCTGTCTGTGTTTTTATTATGTTTTCTGTTACTCCAGTGGCTCTTATCTCCTGTGGATGGATCAGAGATGTAGTACATTTGGCCCTTTATAAGTGAAAACAAAGATAATTTCTGTCCTAGAAAGCTGACCGTATAAGTAGAAAAGAACCTGCGCGCAGATACAAGGAAGTTACAGTAGTGACCCATTTCAGCCTCCCTTTCACCTTACAGCTTGTACTTCCTTGAGAATCAAGGAAAAAGAAAGCTTCAGGAAAAATGAAGCAGCTTTGTGGATGCTTTTGGGGAGCCCATTGCAAAGTTAAAGGGATGCATGGAAAACTGCATGTTTAAAATCACCGTGGAAGGTGATGGAGGTGTCCTGATCAGCAGGAAGGGGGAAATGATCTCTCTGGGAACGATGGGTGAGATTTAGGAGAAGGAGGGCCTGATGGGCTTGCGAGCGAAGGCAGCTTGCAGGTATGTGGTGTGATGAAAGGAGGACAGGAGAGGGAGCGAAGAGCAAAGTGGTGTGAGCAGAGTGACAAAGCTGGAAGTGGTCAGCGCAGCAGCTCGTGAGCAGAACTTGTGTTTGCTGAGGTCTGAGAGAGGGATGGGGTGACAGAGACAGGAGAGGACAGTGTATGGAGGACAATTATTCCCTTTGGCTGCTTGTATCTGTCTCGCACAGATCTTTAACTGTCTGGAGATGTCTGCCACTCGTTCCTCAATTCTGAAGTTCCCAGGAGTAATCAAGAAGGTGCTTTTGGAAACCTCAGACTTGGTCAAAGTTGAGGCACGTGCCTGTAGCTTAGGCTTCTCTCTTGCTCCCTTCTCCCCTTGCCAGATGCTTTTGTGGGAGACTGTTGTCTTTCCTGGGATAAGCATCGTTCTGTATTAAATATACCTTAGCCTCTGTGTGACGTTCTGTACCGCAGTGCTGTAGAACAGAGCAATAAGAGTAACTGTAGTCCTTTAAAGTGATTAGCTACATACAGCTACTACCATGCATTATTCAGCTATCCGGGCATAGTTAAATAATGCATGGTGCCTGTTTCCATTTGTAACATTCGCTGTATCATTTGAATTGGTGAAACCCCAATGCCTTCTAAGCTGGGAAAGTCATGTTTTTGTAGCTCTTTTGTTTTAGTACCTCTGAAGAACAGAGAAATTGTATGACAGAGAAAGAGCAGCTGATTTTATTGTTGAATCTGTTTAGGGAGCCTGTGCTAATTTTGCACAGCAGAGTCTGCTCCCTGGCACCAGGGTAGGAGTGAAGAGAGCAAGGAGGAAAGTCAGAGGCGTCCACACAGACGCCACCGCAGTGGTTTGCTGTAGCACACGGGTGCTGTGCTGCCAGAGCTGGGCTAGTGGCTGTAGCATTTTTCAAGACAGTTGTGTGATCCCTGAAGAGGAGCCCTGTGCCAAAGCAGAGAAACCTTTATGTGCCGAGTTCATTTGTTGAGTCTCGTTTCAACATACTGTTTTTCCAAGTTGTTCTTTTTTTTCAGTTGGCCATCATTACTTATCTCACCTTA